AGCCCCAGCCCCGGCTTTCCTGCCACGCAGTTACCAAACCATCGGTTTTGGTACCAAGGTAAGAACTTACGAAACACCACAGGAAATTATTCACAAGGCAGAAAACAGCTGTACGGGGTGCAACACGTCAGGACAGCACCAGTGGGAAGAGGCCTCCAGAAGAAGCAGGTGTAAAGCACAGCGACTTTAAGATAACGAGTAGCTTACAAGCAGAGCAGGAGGCGACACTGAGACATTAGGCTGGACAAACTGATCAGAGCGCGGTGGAAGCACCGCCGGGAGCAAAGACAACAGGAATCCAGCAAACCACGAAGCTGCCAGGGCGCCCTGGGGCCAGCTGCGTCCCCGAAAAGCAAAACCCCTGCAGGCAGGGCGGGAGGAACCGCAGCCCGGCGGCGCGAGGAGCCTCGGGCAGCAGCTGACGGGCTACCGCGCAGCTCAGAGCGTCGCGCAGGGCTGGGGCAGAGCAAGGCGAACGCCACAGGGGACATTAAGATCCCCCGTTGGTTAACACACACCCCCACGCAAGTCCTACCTCTTCTGCACTGGGGTAAAAACGATCCATTCCTGACATCTCAGCTTCTTAGGTGGGCTTTTTGTTGCTGTCTTATATGGGACAGGAGTCTGGTTTTAGTAAGGCAAAGAGCTTCCACAGAAAATTTGAGTTATCAGCCATCTCTTCACCAGCATCTCCCCTGCAGCTGTGCCCGTGGCTGCTAACCCCACCGGGCTCATGGCCCACCGCAACAGGTTGGGAAGCGTTTCCACCCCCGCACGCCGCTCGGCTGCGGAACCAGCGCAAACGCGCAGATCGACACAGATACATGCCGAGACCGTTTGGCCTCCGGCACCGGCGCCAGCAAGCACGTCCCTCCCCTCCCTCGTGCCGGTGCGGCCGCTCTGCGGCGGCGAGCATCGCCCGGGAGCGGGGTGCGCTACCTGGCTCCGAGATGCTCAGGCTCTGGTCTGAGGGCAGCAGGAGGAATTCCCGGCAGGAGTCCAGGTCCAGACTAGGCAGGCTTTTCTTGCGGCACAGCTCGGCGACGATGCGCACTGCCCTCTGACAGCGGCCGTCATCCTTGGTGCCGCTCATCTCCCACACCGCATCCTCTGCCACCCCTTCTCTGCTGCCCAGGAAAGTCTAACTAGAAGAGCGTTTGTCCGCTTCTAATCGCCGTAACAGAATTACGCCGGTGCCACCCTTGGCTTGGCAGCACCAGCAGGAGCAGCTGGTGCCAGGCAGGGCTCCAGCACCGCAGAGCCTCCACCAAGCCACAGGTCAGTCCCCAGAAACCACAGCTCACTGCAACCCTGCCAGTGCTGCGATCATCCTATTGCTCTGAGATCAAATATCTCTTCGCTGCCAAGGCGTGTACCAGACGGAGAACCTCCTACCAAATCCAGTTTGATACCCTCCATACTGCATTTTTAAAGCTGCAGCCCAGATAATTCTTCTTAACCCCTTCGTGGCTGCCTCCCTCCTTCTCGGTTCTCCAGGTGCAGAGATTTGAATCCCAGCCCCAGAGCATGTTTGCAAAAAAAATGATTGCTGAAATGCTCTGGCTAAGAGCAGCGCATTGCCAGCCCAGAATAGCTGGAGAGCTCTGGTGGGCACTGCACACTGCTTAACTGCCAAGGGCAACATCAGAAAAGCAGTAAGTCTTATTGATTTGTTTGCACCAGTGCTAGCACACCAGGCTGCACATGGCAACAGAGATTGAGACTGCCGCTGCATTTTGCGGTTAGAAGATTTTTAGTTTTCTGCAGCATCTTTTGATTCCTGCT